TACTTTCACAAGCAGGGAAAAAAGTTCGCATGACATTTGTGGTTTCAACAATCCCAACCCATTGTATGTCATGCTTTCTCCTCCCAAAGAGTGTATGCGATGATATTGTAAAACTTCACAAAAAATTCTGGTGGGGAGATAAGGACAACAATAAAAAAGTTAGATGGGCCTCTTGGGATACAATTAGTAAAAACAAAATGAATGGTGGACTGGGGTTCAGGGACCCCATGGCTTTCAACCTTGCTTTGCTAGCAAAACTGGTTTGGAGACTTTGTACAAACTCATCAAGCCTTTGGGAAAGAACTTTAAAAGCCAAGCACTTTCCAAGAGAGTCCTATCTTCTGTCTAAACCTAGGAGGAAACCATCTTGGGGTTGGAGAAGCATCCAAAAAGGCAAGGAAATCCTTCAAAAATGTTTGGTTTGGAAGATTAATAGAGGAGTTGGAATAGATCCTTGGGCTGACCCTTGGATTCCTGGCCTAGAGGGCGTTAAACCAATGGGTCCGAGGCCTAGTCCCGATTGTCCTGCAGAAGTGGCAAATCTGATTCTTCAACAAGAAAGAAGGTGGGATGTCATGAAAATCAACAGTTTATTCACCCCTTTTGAGGCACAAAAGATCCTAGAAATAGATTTGGTTAACCCTGAATGGGAGGATAAATTAATTTGGGCTCTAAATGATAAAAGCAAATTTATGGTGAAATCAGCCTACTTCTTGACTAAAGAGCATGTGATGATGAGCAAAGGTTCTAGTAGAACTGAGGGTAACACAATAACTGATAAAGAGGTTTGGAATATAATTTGGCATCTACCCGTAGAACCAAAAATTAAACACTTCATCTGGAGGTGTTTTCATAACGGTATTATTGTAGCTGATAACCTCTTTAAGAGAAAAATCATTAATTCTCCATCCTATCGTAGATGCAATAGAGACCCTGAGACCATCTTCGATGCTCTCTTGCTCTGTAACAGAACTAGGTGCATCTGGTTGGGGGCTGGAGTGGGAATCAAACCCTCATGGTCTATCAAATAACACCCCCTTCCATAGCTAGTTCAGCAGTACCAGTCAAAGACCTAAGTCAAATCGAGAAATAGTTATAAACCTCGTCATTTGTCTTTGGCACGTGTGGAAAGATAGGAATGTTCTCCTTTTTGATAATGAATCCCCTAACATCTGGTCTGTGGTCTCTTCTATTTGCATATCAATAGCGGAGACATCTCAGCACTGGCAAAAGATATCAACAAGTTGTTTGCAGACTAGAACAAATGAAGTCTCTCAAGTTTCTTGGCATCCTCTGATCCAGGGATATCTAAAATTTAGTGTTGATTGTGGCTTTTTATTTAGTGGAAAAGCCTCTTTTGTTTTTTTGTCAAGGGATTCTTTTGGTTTTTGTTGGTGTGTGAGAGGTGGCCCTTTGTTGGCTTCTTCTATTTTGATAGTAGAAGCAAAGAGCCTACTAGAAGCTGTTCATTTTGTAGTGGAACAGAACTTAAGTTCAGTTGTGCTTGAATTTGATAGCTTGCAGTTGATAAACAGTTTAAAAAATTTCAGTGTCTCTTGACATAAGGATCTCCTCTTCATTTGTAAAGCTATCCTTATCCTTGGAGAAGGAAAAAACTTTAGTTTCAGTTGGGCTCTTAGGCTTGTGAATGAAGCTGCTCATGAGACAGCTAAGCGTGGCTTAAATAACAGTTTTCTTTTTTCTGAAGCGCTCCCGGGGTGGTTGGCCTCCTTGGTACCGAAGGATCTTTCCACCATCAAAACCCCCCTGCAGGAGTGTTTGACTCAGTTCCCCCCTCCAGCATTTTGTTTTCTTTTTCTTCTTTGTTGCTTTGTTTTTCTTTTCCTTTTGTATTGCCCCTCCTTTAATGAATGACTGTTTTCTACCAAAAAAAATTTCTTTTACCCAAAAAAAAAAAAAAAGTTGACTGTACTCCACTTCAGAATTCTGAAATTGAAATTTTTTTTTTGAACTGACCCGTTTAGAATGAATAACATATCTCTCTCTCAATCAGTCAATCCAAACGAAGGATCGGAAATTTTTTCTTTTTTTTTCTTCTTTTGCTTTAATAAAAAAGAACTTGGAAAAGACAAGTCATACTCGATCTAAATTCTGGTTACTTGAACCCACACCATAGTTTTACTAAAAAAGTTCAGAGACAAATTACTGTGATGGTTGCCTAAAACAACAGCACCATAAAGATCCATCTAGTCCACATGCACCTTTATATGTATTACCACAGAAAAGATCCAACCAGAGAGTCTTCTAGTCAATGAGCTTTCTTTTCTTTATTATTATTATTTTTAAGTACTTTGGGCCTAATTGAGAGATTCTCTTGTCCCTATGTGAATTATATTCTTGAAGCTTCAAATTGTAGCTTTGTGGGTCAGTGTTGTCACTACTCACTACTTGATTCAACTGCCTAGGAGGCCAACCACCAAAACTCGGCTATGAATTGATTATAAAGTTTTATGTGTATAAAATATAAGCAGTGTATCCACTTTGCTGTTACCTTAAAAAAATGCAACGTGTTGGGTTCAGGCTGGCCTGATTCTAACTAACCAAATAAGAAAACAGTATGGGACCATGCCATGTGCCAAAATGACACGTTGGCTCCTCAAGCAGAGTAGGACACGTGGCTAAGATGTTGCTTCGTCAGCTGTCACCAGCTACTCAACCCCTATATCTCTGCAAAATAATTAAATGTGAAAGGTCGCCCTTGATCATGGGCCTATTTTTTCGCTCTGGGAAGTAAGCTGGGACCAAACCCATTCAATCATGGCAACACGTTAAAACACAGTTTTTGGCCCGGTCCAGAAATTTCTTCATAGACTTTTGATGTTAGATGTATGGTCAATTGCCCACGGCCCACACGCCCAGTTCAAGCAGTGAAGTCAAGTGAAAAGGTGAGAACGATCAGGTCAAAGCTGGCCATCATGGCAACCGGCCAAGGTTCAAGTAAAAGAGATAAGCAGGCTCCAGAAAAAGAGACCCCAAAAAATAGCCCGAATCAGGCCCATGACGCGTGGGTGAAAATGGTTCAGGGCTATGAAATTCTAGACCCAAATGCGACAAAATAAAAACCTGATCAGACTTGGTCGTCTCGTCCAAGACTGGAAATAGAGCTAGGCTAGTCGGACCAAGAAGTATAAATATTGCATCTTATCTTGATCTCTTCTTAAGAATGTTAATAGTTTATACAAGAGGACAGTGCACAGGCAACCTTTCCTGGGAAAAGGTCAAGCTGTCATTGTAAGCAATCATCATTGATGGAAGGTGTTGACTCGGTATGTAAGACAGTGTCAAATACGGTGTGCAACTGTGCATGGAAAGTGGGTCCTATTCCTATATGATTCACAAATATGCTTGCCACGTGGCAATTTTCACCACCAGTACCAACCTTCCATCATCTCTTTATACCAACTGTGATTTATCAAATATTAAGTATATGCAAGTAGAAGCGTGAGTTCCAACTTCCAACCTTCTCTCCATTTGTAATTTTGTGTTACACTCCACTTGATCATCTTTCTAGTGTGTTAGAGAAAAGTAGGCATCAAACAGTTTTTCTTCTGTTCCTTTTTGGTGGCGAAATAAGAGTATTTGTTATTTGAGACACACTAAATAATTAATTGTTCAAATATTTGAAAGATGCAAAAGATACACCAAACCCCTCTTCAATGATTTTGTTCCCCAAAAGGGTCTCCCTGTTCATCAATAAAAAAAAAAAAAAAAAAAAAAATTGAACAATTTCTTTCTTGAACTGAGCTTCTATATATGTTCATTCTCTGTCCACCCCAAATAACATTGAACACCGATTGTTTGATTAGACCAATTAAAAGTTAAAACTGGAGGTTGGAACTGTTGAGAGAAGATCAGAAATGCAAGCGAGAATGAGCAGTTCTTCAGAAGTTTGGCCAGTTGTACTGCAAGTCTGCAATGCGACATGTTTGACTCCAGCCAAATATCGTCAAGATGAGGAAATAATTAATGAGCTATGATTTAACCAAGTTGCCTGGATGTGAGGTGCCACATTGTGGCATTCAATTGTGTTCCGCTCATTGCTCGGATCCAACCTTGAATTGGCATGAGAGACCGACCTCTTTGACACAATCCTATACAGTTAAGTGGTGAGACCTCGCATTCGCATGTGGGGGGCTTCGGACCCTTCGGTCTGGTTTTCCACGGAGATGGCTGAGGAAGACCGGAGGACGGGAGGAGGGAACCAACCCCATCAACCCATTAAAGTCTACTTCTATCTGACAGTTGTTTACAAGACACTTTCTTTACGGTTAGAGCATTGAAGGCCGGCACCGTTTCTCAGAAGTCAGATCCTAGCGCCCAGCGCTGTTGGCCAATCTGTGACAAGGTATCAGTGGATATACTGTATGCGCGCGCGTCAGAAACAAACATCCAAATTCCTCAGAAACCCAACATCAATAAAATAGTCAAGATCAAAGAGGGGCTTTGTGTTGTAGTTTCCAAAGTCTTCCTTGCCTTTTTTTTTAATTTTCATTTTCTGGGTTGCTTCTAAAGTCTTCAAACCACATAAAACTCAATAATCTTGAGTTAATATATAAATTAAAATTCTGGGTAAGCTTGAAACATGGCAGATGTTAGCAAACAGTGATTTAATTAAGAGAATAATAAAAGGAAAAACTGAAGTAGGTGTTTATTGATAATAAATGGTAAAGGGATGGAAAAAAATGAGAAAGTCTACAAAAATAACGGTTGGACAATTGATTTGAAGTTTTGAACCACTGACGTCCTCACCTGTGTCTGTGTGGGTCTGGAGAGCAAGACAAAGGAAGAAATGGTTGGGGGTAGTTAGTTCTAAGTGGGCTCTCCAAGGCCCAGAGCTTCTGAATAGAGAAATTCCAGCCGTACGATGGAATGGCGTAGGATTCTCAGTTGTGTACACGTGCTGCTAATCTTTCCTTTCCTCTTTTTTTTCTTTGCTTCCATGCATGGATTTCTCCTCCAAATATAGCCATAGGCAGCACCAAAGAAGAGGGAGGGACAGAACGATAGCAGAAAGCTCTCTTCTTTCTTTATAGTTTTAATTTCTTCTCTGGCCTATTCATTGCTTCTTTTTTTTCAACAACTAATGTCACGGACCCATCTCTTCGAATTTGATTTTCAACCGCCCAGGGAGAGTGAGAGGAAAGGTACCGATTTCAGTGGTTTTATGTGCATCAGATCTTGTTCTTGGTCACAGTGACCTCGGAATCCGAGATGGGTTCTTCTTTGATCAGTTAAAGAAGTTAAAAAAACCCGTGATCTGATTCGATTTTGTTAACAGATTTGAGCTCTTTCTTTGCTCGTCTGATCTGAACTGATGTGGTTTCCTCTGTTTGTTTAGCATTTAGGTTGTTTCGATGGAAGGAGGCCGGAATTGAAGCACTCTGTTGGACTTCTCCATTAGGTTTGAGCTCTCATCTGGTTTCCTGATCTGGGTTTCTCGGTTTTTGGTATTGTTAGTGCCGAAGTAGTCGATGGAAGAACACCAAGAACAGAAGCATTTATGCAAGTTCTGTAAGAAGACTTTCCCCTGTGGAAGGTCCCTCGGAGGTCATATGAGGTCTCATATGACGATGAATTCAGTTGAAACTGACGAGAAGCTTACCAGGAAAAAGGTATCTTCTGTGAACGGAGAAAGAAACAGTAACAACTACATGTGTTCTGAAGCTGGTGGTCACGTTGGTTATGGCCTCAGAGAGAATCCCAAGAAGACTTGGAGGCTTTCGGGTTCAAAAGACGGTGCTCTGCGTGAAGGGAAGGCATGTAAAGAATGCGGTAAAGGCTTTCAGTCATGGAAAGCTCTCTTTGGTCACATGAGATGTCACTCCGAGAGAGAGAGGATCTGCGAAAGCTTGGAGGATGATTCATGGACCGATGAAAATCAAAAGCTGGTCATGGACAGCCAATCTGACAACGAAGCTGCCGCCCCGAGGCGGAGGAGGAGATCAAGAAGAATGAGGTACAAGACAATTTCAACTTCATCTTCTTTCTCTTTTGCTAACGCTTCTTCTTCTGTCTCGGATATTGAGCAAGAACAAGAAGAGGTGGCCATGTGTTTGATGATGCTGTCTAGGGATGTGGGTCATTGGGGTGGATTGAATTCGGTTGCAGAGTATTCTGATAATAATTCTGTAGTTTTAGAAGCTAGATCATCAGGTTTCCATAAGCAGGTTACTAGAAAAGGAGGCACAGATTTTACTTCTTATGGAGATGAAACTATGAAGATGAAGAAACCAAGAGAAAGAAGGTTAGAATCTGGTGCTTCAGATCCTGAGAATGCTCATGTTCAGAAGGGAAGATCTGAATGTGGTGCTTCCAATTCTGGGGTTTTGAGGAGTGGGATCAAGAAAGTGGAATCCGAAGTTTCTCTTGTTGGGTTTCCCATGGATGATGAATTTAAGAAGCCTAAGATGGATAAAATAGCTGGCTTTGAGTTGTCAGATATGGAATTAAGGAAGGATTCCTGTAACAAAAACAAGCTCAGTCCTAAGAAGGGTAAACTGAAGTATTCTGAAGCTGAATTGGGGAAACGTTCTACTAAGGAAACTGGAAGGAATCGGACTAATTGGGAGTATAAGAAGTACAATTCGAGCAAGAGAACCAGAACTGATGCTTATATTCCTGAATTGGGAGGAGACTTCTGCAAGAAGAAAAAATATGATGCTTTGGATTCTGAAGCCTGCGGAGACAGTCAAAAGAAAAGCAGGTTTGAGTGCACTACTTGCAACAAGATCTTCCATTCTTATCAGGCTCTTGGAGGCCACAGGGCCAGCCACAAGAAGGTCAAAGGATGTTTTGCATCAAAGGTTGACAGCAGTGATAATAGCATTGAAACAGATGCTTCTCCTGAGCCAACAGCTGACAGTAAGCTTGTTAGGTCTTGCAGTAATGAGAACATTATAGATCGAGATGTTGCTGGCAGTGTGGAGGCAAGTTCTGGACCAAAGAAGAGTAAGGGGCATGAGTGCCCAATCTGCTTCAAGGTTTTCTCATCAGGCCAAGCTTTGGGTGGCCACAAACGGTCCCATTTGATTGGGGGCTCTGAAGCCAGAGGCAATCAGACCATTGTAATTCAGCAACAGCTTCCTGAGATTCGTGATCTACTTGATCTCAATCTCCCTGCTCCTATTGAGGAAGATTCCAGTGGCCGCGTTGGGTTTAACCCATGGTGGGTTGGAAGCAACCACAAACATGAGGCTATGGTAGGTATGATCTCCAACTGAGTAAACTGATGCTTACCGCGGTTCTCATGAAGATTCAAGAGTGTACAGACAAGTTGGTGGATATTATTTCATTAATTCTTTACGTATTCAACAATATGCCCTATGGAGGTAATTAGTAATAGTTCTCTTTGCTGCTTAAAAGCTTCTAAGTAGCATTTTACTTTTCTTATCCTGGTTCTTGAGCTCTTTTTTCTTTTTTCCTCTTCTATGTTTTCCAATCTGAGAATAAAGCAACATTGTCACAATATTTCAAGTTCATCAATATGTCTCAATTTGAAACTATATACTGTAATTGGCATTTGCATTTCTTCTTTCAGTGTAACTTTCCCTGATTAAAGCCATCAATGCAAATTCAGATTGCCCTTTTCTGTCTGTCTTGGATAAGCAGAGTCAAATTTCAAGCTCATCAATGCAAATCCATTGATGTTTGAGACAGATGAGACAGATACTCGTACCATTCCATTGCAATGTCCATGTTGGTTACTTCCATCATTAATTTTAACTGGGATAACCTACTTTATCTTCTTATTTCGGTAGAGCCTATTCAAATTATTGAATTCAGTTAACCTGTTGCTCTGACAGATGCATCCTAATTATGGGATTTGAATTCATCTTTAGAGGGAAGATAGCTGAGTTCTACTAACAATACTAGAGGGGGATGTGCTAAATTCTCCAAGTTCTTTTAGCAAATAAAAGCCATTAAATCAAGGTAGATAATTTCTACTGGAAGTGTTCTGTTCTGTTAAAGTAATTAGATTATCTTGAGAACATGAGAGGTCTTGTAAATTGGTTGCTCTACCTTGGAATCGGAGACTCCTAGGTTTGGATGAGTTATCAAGTAATGAGGAAACAATGTTGATGAGACTTGAGCATTTTATAATATAGAATATGGCATGTGAACTCAAAGGTGGTTGTTTAGTCACCTACCATAAAACATGACAACCCATCACACTTCTATATGTTGATGTCTTTCTTTAACTTTCTAAGGAGTATTCATTCATATATCTTTATTCTCAAGGCTACATGGTTCTACAGTGCTCACCATCTTACTTTCTTTTCTTTTGTCGCCTTTTAGCACGACTGTGTCTCTATGTGTGTGTCTGTGTGGTTGATGCATATGGGAATCGAGTTAATCTCAAGCTCATCCCAGCTTGTGCAGGACAGGAGTGGTGGTCTTATTTAGGCATTTTATTTTACTTTTTTTTTAATTGGATCAAATATGGATCCACCCCCAACCCAATCCGATTTGATAATATGTGATGGAATTAATATTATCTATTAGAGTTGGTGTGAATGTTGTATGATTTACTAAAGAGTCACAGGTTCAGATCTCATAGAAGTTATTGTTAAATCATTTTATTCATGATATATGATATCCAAATCCGAATCTGACTGATAAGATAGGATTCAAGTCCAAGTATTAATGAATGAAATTTGGATCTAGACATATCCGATTTGAATCCAATCCTTTTGCATCCTTAAGGATAACAATGGTAGCAACACTGTTTGACAGCTGAGAGGTGAGAGACAGATTCGGATCGAATTGGTTTGAATTGGTCCGGATGGAAGTGGTCATGTAGTGAACGGGTAAAATCCGGGTCAACTGAGTTTGACTCCACCACTTTTCTAGCGTACTCCTGTGAAATCAACTACACCATGAACAGGAAAAAGCCCAATCCGGTCTGTGCTCATTTACCAAATTTACCAGTAGCTTTCTGTGGGGCCCAATTTTGTATTGTTAGGTAGAGCCAGATGGGCCCCAAAACGAAAGCTCTTCTGTCAATCATGAGATCGGCATCATCCTCAATACATTGCCATGTTTCCAATTTGATGGTTTGCATCAACCATCATATAATAGATAAGATCATAAGAACGTGCTTTCTGAATCATATATCCAGTTGTCAATATGTGATTGGAGCAGAGCTTCCAGTTGAATAAAAAAGTAGAAAATTGTAGGAAGCTTGTCATTTAGGGCCGTATCCAGATTCCAGAAGTGGGCATACAGCGGGGAAGGTGAAGTAAAGGCTAAGGGCTATACAATAAGCCGGTATAGACAACAAAAGTTATATTAACAACTTTTTTCGGGGATGTTGGGATAGTTGTTGAAAATTTGGAATCCTGCTTTTCAGGCTTTTGACCGGTCACCGGTGGAAGCTGAGTTTCATGTTTTTGCCACATCACCTTTCAAACCACATTTCACCCTTGTTCAGAGACCGAATCAGCCCCCCACAACATCTCACAGCACATCTCTGCCGTGTATCGAGAACATCTCCGGATGATCCTTTCTCGTATTATTATTGGGAAATATTACAGGGCAGGATGTGGGGGCGTTGTGAGGGGCTGATTTGAATTCTCTTGTTCATGGTGTTTTGTTGTTCAAACAGCACACCAACATAGGCAAAATCGAAATACAACAACGGAAATGCCAAAATGATGTTTCCTCTCAATGTGAGTTTCACATAACCTGGGATAAGAAAAATTACAAAAAAGGCTTGTATCTAATCAGCATAGCAAACAAGATTAAGCATATTTTCCACAATTACCCAGTCTTTTCCTTTTTACTATGTGAGAAATTTAGTCAAATAACCATGTTAGATTGTCAGTAGAAGTGTTTTTAATCTTTTATCAAAGTAGTAACAATGCACTTATTTTGCATGTGGAAATTTTTGGTGATGATGATTATAATGTTAGTAAATAATATATTTTCAAATTTTTTATATATTTTTTTTATATTTATATATATAAATTATTCTTATTTATCACACTATGGTGAGTATACAATATTAGAGATGTGCCCAAATGTTTTCTACAACTTTTTTTTTTGTATTTTTATATTTTGTATGTTCTCATATTTTTTAAAGTTTTGTTATTGATTAATTATGACATCGAAGGTAAACACAGTTTGACCCAAAAGGTTGAATTGTTGATTCTCCACCAAATAAGAAAATAATTCCAATTTTGGGTTATCTTTAAATTTGTATTTTATTTCTATCACCAATAAGACAATTATTCTTTATCACGTTTATTTTTCTTTAATATGGTTAGTTAATATAGGATTCAATGAAATAATAGGAGTTAATACTCTAAATATAAGACTTAATGAGATGGAATTGAATGTGGAGAAATGTATTAGTTCAAATTACATTTTTTATTCTCAAAATTAGAGAGATTATAAAATTCAAAAAGATCAATGAATGTTAATAGGAGTTAATACCTTAAATATAAGATTTAATGAGGGAAATTTAAATAAGGAGAGAAGTGGTTGTTCAAATTACATTTCTATCCAGTTAGAGAGGGACCAAATTAAAAAATTGAGTTATTTTAGTCAAACAAAATTTCACACTTTTAATAGTAGTATAGATATAGATGAGGTTTTAAATTTTCTATTCATAGATGTTGCTCATTTGGTTTATTGTCTCAATAAAAGCTTTTTTTATTAAAATACAAATTTACCCATGATAACAAAAGATCAAGAGGTAAATTCTGTCCAACAAAAATTCCATAAAATAAGACGTATTCACACTTTTATTAGTATAGATTGGCCAATTGGACCAGTTGATCTGTTATCTGGCTAGAATTTTGGGGTCATTTCACCATTGAATTGCTTATTTGTAAAAAAAAAAAAAAAAAAAAAAGTCATTGACTCAGCAACAACTCGATTATCCAACCAATTGAACTGTATTTTTTGACCTAATCAAAGGGTTACAGGTTAGATATTACTTCACTTTTCTCCTTTTTTTTTGCATTATTATCCAAGAAAAATCATTCTTATTTGTCATTCTTATTTTTGTTTAATCCAATAAATATAGAATATTAAAGATAATGCCATTCTTTCATAAATTTTCTATATATAGTTATATTTTAAATATAGTTATTATATCTGTTTTTGTAGAAATTAAATTCTTATATCTGATTTGTTTCTGGACCGACCGGTCTCCTATGCAATGGAAATTGGAAAATTTTGGTTTTGCTGATGTCTATTTTGCCAAACAGGTTTCCTTAACCTTTCTTTCAAACCAAAAACAGCCCAAGTGTTGGGTGGGTGATGGAAGTGAGATCGGCTTCAATCAGTGCAAGGCCCATTTGAACACTATTCAAACAGTCTTTACAGCCTTGCATCGGGAACATCTCCATATTTCTGTGCTTTATTTCATGGGGAGATATTCCCAGTGCAAGGCTATAATGGCTGTTGAAACAGGTTCTGCACTGACTGAATCTGATTTCGATGGAAGCAGAGTAGAACAGAATTTGACAAAAAAAGCTATGATGACAAAATAGAGCCTGGATCTCCTGCCTACGAGAATCCTGCCCATGTTTATCGCAGCCACACGTGGAGAACATCTCATCCTCTGCATAGTATTATGCAAGGGGAGATGCTCCCAATTCACGGGGGGTAGTGTGTTGTGGGTAGATGTGGGCAGGAGATCCGGACTCGACAAAATAATCATCCATCTCAGTTCTCAAAGGTTTCAGGGCTCCTATAGTCCTATTTGATGTGTGATCAGATTGGGATTGATCTAGAACGGTCATCCAAACGGTATCATCCCTGAAAAACATCTATCACCAAATCACATCTAGAGTTCGGATCGTGTGAACACTACAATCACATCTAGAATTTGGATCATGTGAGCACCACAGCACATCCTAACTGTGTATTGGGGACATCTCCAATGACAACTACAGGAGATATACCCAATGCACGCTGAGATGTGCATGTGGGGCATCTTCAGAAATGCTCTCAACAGCCTATATTATTGGCCCCCAACAGTCAAAGTTTTTCTGTAAATTAGTAATTTTCTCCTATTTTATTTTGACCAAAATAAAAGAAATGAGCGTGAATAGGTGGACTCTGGATCTCCTGCTCATGAGAACTCTGCCCACACCTACCCATAATACACTACTCCCGTTAATCAGGAACATCGAGGATGAGATGTTCTCCATGTATGACTATGATAAATGTGGACAGAATTCTCGTGGACAAGAGATCCGGACTTGAATAAGTCCAACAACGCTTTCAACAGGCTGTTGGCCCCAACAGCCAAAGTTATCTCCATCTCGCAAGAGAAGAATTCCTTGTCACTAGATGAACTGTCTCACTCGTCCACTATCATTCATCCAACGTGGCACAACCATATATGTTAATTCATTGGCATTGCAAGTAGGGATGTTTATAAAAAAATTGAAAAACTGAAAAACTAAACCAAATTGAAAAATCTAGTTAGTCAGTTACGGTTTGGTGTTTTTGAAAAAACTGGCGTTACACACACATATCCATTATATATAAGTCTACTATATTTTATAATTATCTATTTATAATATATAATATTATATATATATAATAAACAAAAAATCAAATT